CCCGTTGGTGTAAAATAACAAGAGTACCTGATAAAATAAATGTTCCGACAACATGATTGGTAAATTTAAAAAAAAAAAAAAACTTTTATTTATTGATCGTACGACGGTTACGGTTTAAACTATTCGTTACAAAAAAAAAACTTATCAATGATTATTATCATTATTTTTTAATACGGTATAAGACAATAATAATAATAATAATAAAAGTTGGCAAATTTTTTAAATTTTTGGTTATGTTGCAAAACATTTGGAAAAAAAAAAAAACCTTCACAAGCGGTGAGTGAAGCAATAAAGAAAAAAAAAAAAAAATTTTTTTTTTCCGCGGCCGTTACGTGCATGTCAATAACCATTCATTTTTCTTTTGTTTTAAAAAACTAATTTAAAATTTTATCAACCGTGACGACGGATGATATTTTCCTTTGTCTGTTTGTTGTCTGTCTGTTTGTTGTTTGTATGGTAAAATTAATTTCATCGTCGTTATTTCAAAACATTTTGCTAATATCTACCGAATACGCGCGTTATCGGTATTTTTATTTAAAAAAAAAAGGTCAAGCATGATTGATAATTATGAATGCGTCAAAGGAAATCAAATTTTTCCTTTTTTCCTTTTTGCAATCGAACAAAAAAAATTTTTTGAATTTATTTAAACGTATTTAATTTTTTTTTTCTTTTTTTCAAAGTCTTCTTCTTAAGCCTTAAAATTTCACAACAACATAAAAATTACCGAGTCTTATTTGCCATCATCATCATCATCATCATCATCATCATTATTATTATAAAATTTATCTTTTTTGTATCAGAAAACTTAAAAAGTGTTAAATCATAAGGGGAGAGGACATAAAAAATTTAATTTAAGTAATTTTAACAAAAAAAATGGATACCAAAAAAAAATTTAATTACCTTTCAAAAATTTATATTTCATAACAAAATAATTGCAAGGAAAAATTATTATTATTATTATTATTATTATTATTATTATTATTATTATTATTATCATTATTATTATCATTATCATTATTATCATTATATGAAAAGTTTAATATTGTTTTCGATATGCGTTTAATACGATGATAACACGAAGTGAAAGAATATTATAATTTTTCTTGTTATTTTTTACATTTGAGATATAAATAATTAAATTTGTAATTATTATTATTATTTTTTTTTTTATAATAATAATGATAATAATAATAATAATGGACGAATGAAAAACAAAAATGATTTTAATTGCGAAAAAAAAAAAAATTTTATAATAATAAAAATAATAAATAATAATATTATATAATTAAAATGAGAGAGAGGGAAGGGAAAAAAGTAGTTATTTATCATCATCATTATTATTATTTTACTTGTTTTATAAGGGAAAATCAATTTTTGAATTTTTTTTTTTTTCATGCTCTAAATAAATAAAAATAAAAATTATATAATTTAGGTGTCATTTATATAAAATAAAAGAAGAAGAGGTTAACCGCTCTTATAATAAGGTTTTCACAGAGTTCGATTTTATGGGGACCCCCTCCCTCCCCCTCCTCCCAACATTTATTTATTTATTAAAAATTTTATTAAATTTTTTCTTCCGTCTTCATTGTTTTTAGTTTTTTTGCACATTACACCATTAATTTTTCTTACTTTTATTTGGCTTACGATAAACAAATTATTTATCATAACCAGAAATAATAATAATAATAATAATAATAATAATAATAATAATAATAATAATAATAATAATAATAATATAAATAGATAATTATAAATAGCACCACCGATATTCGAGTATTTGTCCCTAAGGAATCGGGTAGAGACCTGGGATAAATGCTTAAAAACCCCGACAAATAAGAGCCTTGTCGTGTTTAAGAGTGACCATGATGATAATAATAATAATAAATGATAACAAAGATAAGGCAACAAACGGGGACTCGTAATTGTATTCATTTTATAAGAAGACTTTCCCCGGTCGTTTTGCCTCGTAAATAATTTACAGTCAATTTAAAAAAAAAAAACGAATTCATCATTTCCGGTTTTATTTTTTACTGGATGGAGACTGTAAAAAATGTATTTCCTTTCTCAAAAGAAAACACTGGAAAATTCAAATTTTTTTATTTTAAATGTTTTGGAAAAAAAGAAAAAAACGTCATAATAATAATAATTAAATATTCACGGTTAAATCTTAATAAAAATTTCAAATGCCAAATCCATTTGATACAAAATTATTATTATTATCACTAATACTATTAATTCTTTTAATTAAATGGAAAAATTATTACGTTCTTATTTTATTACTCGATTAATAAGTTATTATTATTATTATTTCGTGTAATTCGATTGAGGAAAAATGAACTAAATAAATTTTTATTTTTTTTTTGCGAACGATATATAATAATATTTATCACCATCGTCATTATTATTATTATTACATATTAATAAAAAATTATTATTATTTAAGCGAAAGAATAAAGTTAATAACAAAAAACAGGAAATTAATAAATAAATAAATAAAATTTTTTGCAAAACGTAATCAAAAAAAAAAAAACGAGTAGCAAAAGGAAGAAAAACTTTTTATATATCGAATAAAAATTGTGCGTAACATTGAAGATTCTCATAAGCTAATTAAGAGAGAGAGACAAAAAATAAATAAATAAATAAATAAATAAATAAAAAGTTAATAAGTTGTGAAGGTTTTTTATTTTTTTATTTTAATTTAAAATTACGAAATTTTAAATTTTTACAAATAAGGACCGAACAACGACTACTACTAACAACTTTCCTTTAGAACGAAAAAAATTTTTTTTTTTAAGGTTGAAAATAATAATTTTTCACGGGAAGATGAGGAGAGGACACCCCCCCCCCGGGAAGAATCAAACAAAAGGTAATTTCAGGTATGGATTTTAATTGGTTTAACACGGTCTCCCCCCGCACGATAAAATATAATTTTACCCATTAAAAAAAAAAAAAAATAATAATTCTCCGTAAAACATCGTTTAATAATTTTTTTTATTACGTAATAATTATCGTTAAATCCACGATGAGATGGGGCCGTATTAAGGGTAATAAATCCGATTTATTTATCAGGTACGAACAAGAGAATAAACCTGGATGATAATTAAAAAACGAAACTTTTTTTTTTTGCAAAAAAAACAAGTAAATAAATGTGTTTACGTGTATAAACACGTGTGTGAATTCAAAAACTGGAAGTTTAATCATTTTATTATTATTATTATTATTATTATTAATTTACGATAAGGAAATCATATAAATTCGGTTTGTTAAAAAAAAAACAATTTATTATGTGGAATTTTCTCGAATTATAAAAACCAATCTTAGTTGTAATTATTATATAATAATAATTTTTTTTAAAGAACCCACACAAAGTTAACGACTTGACACGAGAATTTTTCAATATGGCGGTTCAAGTTGTTACTAATGTATCTGGCATGCGGAATTATGAATCTTCTTTTTTTTTAATAAAAAATTTCACGCGATATAAAAAAAAAAATCAGGTAATAAATCGTGAAAAAAAAAAAAAAAATTGAAGAGAGGAAAAATGAAAAATAAATAAAAGATTTTCTTTTCTTCTCCTCCCCTTACGCCCTCTTACCCCTTTTTGCCCCCCTTCGGTCATTAATCAATTATATAGATTTGTAAATGTTTGTAGTGCGTGCGTGCGTGCGTGCGAGTGCGTATACGCACGTTATCTAATAAAAAAAAATATTTTTAACACGTCAATAACTATATAATTATTATTTCCTGAATGATGCAAATAAGAGCGTTATTATTATTATTATTATTATTTGGGGAGACCATTTTATGCGGGTTAT